CGAACTGGAGAATATAACATCAAACGAGAAATGTAAAGAAAAACCAAACTTTCCGTACAAGCCCGATGGGTGTGAATGGGGAGAGCGCAGGTGAATTTAAAATTTTCTCCAGGTCGGACTCAGTGATACGAGGGTGAACGCTGGTGTCTTTTCCATTTTTCCTGTGTAGCGCTTTATAATTGATTTAAAGAGATATAGTTCTAAAAATCGTTCTCAATATTAAAGAATAGCATAGCTCACACCACAACTATAACGATAACGATACAAAGGAACGATATCGTTGTGATCACTTTCAAAACTATTTTTTTCTATAGGAAGCGCATTAATATAGAACATGATTAAACTGACCTGGAACTACCTGTGCAGTTAAACGAATTTAATCAACACCTGCCAGCCAATCAGAATCGAGTGTTCAGACAGACCATGGCATAAGTAAGGGATAATCAACGGCTAGCTGTGCATTAAACAATTTGAATGCACGACGTGGAGGCGAAGAACCACCCGACGCGCAGCGTAATAATATATAATATATCATATTGACCACGGTATAGTTTTGTGTTGTGCTGAGTTGGTTCCAATCCTCTTCTTCACTGTCAGATGCGTCCTCCTTGCAGTCAAAGTCATAGATAAATCCAGTCAACAGATAACCCACATTAGTAGGAATAGCTGAAATATTGTAATAGCAAACCTACTGTGGTATGATATGATTCTGTGTCAGTCTCATAGCATGGGGAACAGTTCTCATCTTCATTGTTAGATGTGTCATCCTGGTAATCCGAAACATGGAAAAGTATAACAGATAACCCACATTAAAATATAGTATATAGCAGAACAGCTGAAATTACAGCAACCTACTGTGGTATGATGTGGTGCTGTTTCAGTCTTATAGCATGAGGAACAGTTCTCCTCTCAGAGCGTGTGCTCTGTGCTCAGGTGTGTTTTGATCAGGGTTGGAGCTAAACTGTGCAGTGCAGTGGTCCTTCAGGACCAGATTTGAAGAGCCTTGCTGTATTATGATAGTAATGTAACATCTTAGAATGGTATGAGACATAAGCTGCATTTAAGCTTTGTACTTACTTGACGAACTGGATCTTGCAACCATGCTTTATATTGCTTTTTCCTAATCCTTAAAGCAACATAACATAATCCTCAGTTCCACCTCAAATCAGTAATCCAAGAAAATACAATACAATGTCCACAAGCCAGTACCTTTATTGCAATCACTCCATCTTCTTCTAGTAGTACTTGGAATTGTTCTCTTGCTTTGCAGGTACAACTTATACTCCATTGTCTTTATAGAGTTACTGACTGCAAGGTAACAATACAGTGCAAAATTAACATATTAAGACACTGCATCAGAACGAAAAGTAACAAAGATAAGAAATAACGTTACCAAGTTAAGACTTAAAAAAAACCTAAACACAAGATTTCTTAACAGGGTTAACGTTAAGTGTAATATATTACCATGGAAACATATAGCAACAATGAAGTTATAACGGTTTTTGTGTTGAAAGAGTGACTTCTGTATGAAAGATATCCCAACGTCTCCTGGTTTCTGCTTCGACGAGGAAAAAGTTTCCAACACCATTGAAATGATTAAATCTCTTTGAATCTATCTATCTATCTATCTATCTGTCTGTCTGTCTGTCTATCTGTGTATGTCGGTGTCTATCTATCTGTCCGTCCGTCCTTCCGCCCGCCTGCCTGCTTTCCTGAGAGTCTGTTTTAAATTGTAGTCCTTTTTTTTTTTGTTGCCATTTTAGACAAAATGTGTAATGGCTGTGTGTTGAGTTATTTTGAGGGGACAGCAGATTTACACTGTTATACAAGCTGTACACTCACTACTTCACATTGTAGCAAAGTGTCATTTCTTCAGTGTTGTCACATGAAAAGATATAATAAAATATTTACAAAAATGTGAGGGGTGTACTCACTTCTGTGAGATACTGTACATGGTTATAGAGGTTTTTGCTATGAATGAACGAGTTCATTTAAACATTGCTTTCTTTATTTAGAGATTATTAACAGATTTGCGGAGTTGCTGCCTAACAGCAGTGTAAACAAGCATGCTGTGCAAACCTCCCTAACAAGTGCAGCTTGCAGCGCTGCCCTTCAACCAGCCAACTCTTCACATCTTAGTTCTTCTGGACTGGACCATGTGAGAATACTATTTTTAGATTTTCTTTTCACACAATTTAATAAGTCTATTCTTTTCGTGTGTGTGTGTGTGATTTAGGAAAACATAAGTATGTTGTAAAACGCAGATTAAAAAAATATGGCCAATTCAATTTATTATTTAATGTGTATTGCACAGGTTGAAATCCACAAAAAACTAAACATTGCAAAGGATACATTCCAAGCATGTGGTAGAGGGGGCACTTCATGGTCAGCCATGATTAAGGATTTAGCCGTGGCTGTTTTCGGAAGGAGCATGTTAGCTACCCACAGCCTTTCTGGAAAAACTGTAAATGCCAACAAAGAATCGCAAGCCAAGCCCCCTTTGGACCCCACAAAAGTGGAACTTATTATAGGTATAAAGGTGTTGAAGGTTATATGCTCTCATAACAAGTATCTGACACTAAAGTTTATTTACATTTCTCTTTCAGACACTGTTCAGAAGACATTTCCAGCAACTCCACGAAAATTTCTTCGGGCTGCTTTACGAGAAAAAAATTAATGATGAACATAAACTCCTTAGCAGGTTTTACATTCTAATTTATTTTTTATATTTTAAGTGTTATTCATTACACATTTTGTTTCACATATTAACTAATCTGCAAGATGATCATTTAAAGTTCTTATAATTACAGTACCTTATATTTCAGCGTTTATAGTGTATACTCATATTTCTCAGGCAACATAAGAAGGACACTGTTATGCTGCAACACTGAGTGGTGAAGCACATAAGAGGTGAAGGCAAATTCACTGTAACATATGCATGTAATTATATTTATACATATTTTATTAGCTAAGTTAAGGCAAAAATGTCTCTCTCTTTTTTTCCAGAGTTATTGGTTTCTGCAGAATGATGGGCCACGTTCTGTTCAGAGTGTTCAGTTTCTTCACACTTGTCTCATTTAACCTTAAGCTCTTTTGACTAATAAATAATTAATAATTAACATGATCGGAAGTGGTTTTTGTATTTTTTGTTGGTATTTAAATTTGAGACACATAACATTGCTTTTAAAAAGAGTTTTGTCATACAGGAGGCCGTGAATATCCCTTCAGCAGCCCAACAGGATGAGTATAAATAATAGTTCATTAGGATTCCTGCAGAAGTCCTATATGAACTGAACACTACTGCTTTAGGTTTTCTGTAGGATTCCTGCATATTTCCTATAGAATTCTGTAGGATTCCTGCATGTTTCCTGTCGGATTCCTGCAGGAGTCCTGCATGGTTCCTGTAGGATTCCTGAAGAAGTCTTGCATGTTTCCTGTAGGATTCCTGCATGTTTCCTGTAGGATTCCTGCATGTTTCCTGTAAGATTCTGTAGGATTCCTGGAGGAGTCCTGCATGGTTCCTGTAGGATTCCTGAAGGAGTCTTGCATGTTTCCTGTAGGATTCTGTAGGATTCCTGCATGTTTCCTGCAGTAGTCCTGCATGTTTCCTGTAGGGTTCCTGCATGTTTCCTGTAAGATTCCTGCAGGAGTCCTGCATGTTTCCTGTAGGATTCCTGCATGTTTCCTGTAAGATTCTGTAGGATTCCTGCAGGAGTCCTGCATGTTTCCTGTAGGATTCCTGAAGGAGTCCTACAGGAAAATGGTCACGAAAATCCTGTGGGATCCTGTAGGAATGTGCAGGTTTGTGGTGTGTAGGTTTTCCTGGTATTCCTGGTATAGGTATTTTTTTTGTAAGGGAAGAATCGCAGACAGCTCTGTCTGGTCCGCAAGCTACGTTTCACAACAAAACACACGCTCATTGGCTGTAGGTCATCGCCGATGTAGTTTTCAGTCAGAAATCATTGCACACTGCGTGATTGTGAATCGCCGACATCTCCAGATATTTAGCATGCCAAATATTTTGCGGGCGTCGGCGACGTGTCGGTGATTCCCTCAGTTCACGTCTTTGATAATTCACACTGCGTGATTGTCACGCGCGTGAACGAGCACCGATTTGCCTCCGATTTCGGGCATTTGTTGACGATTTCGCAAAACCTGTCAGCGAGTGAAAAATCGGGCTAAAATCGTGCAGTGTGAACTCGGCATTAAGAACAAGTGGTGCTGTGACAGCTGTCACTACTCGATCCGTACCGGAAACACGACTTGTACTGCGCATGCACGGAAATGCGTCTACTTCCTGTCTGTATGACTAAACAATTTACGGCAATTTCGGGTAGTTATAATCATTTCTAACAGTTTGTATTAAACCAGCATCACAACAAAACAACAGAGAGCGGAGTGAAACTGAACTTCTTCCTCTGAGGTTTAATGGTGTTTGGCAAACAAGCGTCTGTGTTTTAGCGCCACCCGCTGGACTGGAGTGAGAAGAGGGAAAATAATAAGGGGGGATGTCACTACTCGATCCGTACCGGAAACACGATTTGTACTGCGCATGCGCGGAAATGCGTCTACTTCCTGTCTGTATGACGAAACAATTTACGGCAATTTTGGGTAGTTATAATAATACTGTTGTTATAATACTAATAATGATGTAATGTTTTCATGTGTTGACACTACCCGATCCGTACCGGAAATAGTCCTTTACTAGTGATTCTCTTGATATAAATACACTTTTTTTTTAAATAAAATGTATCAATTAAATTTGCACAAATTAAATCAATTCAGTAAAATTAAATAAAAGAAGAAAAAAAATAGTTTACATTTGCTAGACTCTATTTGGGTAATACAGATGTGTATATAAGTGTGTTTTACATTTAATTATTAATTTTCTAAAGATATGTTTTACTTATTTCAGCATACTTTAACAAATGTCTGCATCTAAGAAACACAAAAATATTTTTTTTCAAATTATTTATTCATAAATGAATTAATTCATTCATTCCCTCCCTCCCTCCCTCGTCTACTACAATTGCTGATTGAGGAACATGACATTGACCTTCAGGCCTTGTTTATCAACACAGTATGACAAAAATGTTTCCATGTCATCTTGAGACGGAAATATGAACAAAAAGTCATCCTTTGCTTCAGGGAATTCACTCCCCAGGGCCTTCCTGAGTGCATTTTGTTGACTTTCACTGTTCATCTGCAGAAAAGCAGGCTCTGTCACCGCTCCACGGAATAAGTCTCTGTGATTGTGTACCCAGTACCAAGCTGTATGAAGGTCTCTCACAATGGTAGGCTGTTGCACCTGAATATACAAATATATAATGGCACAAACAAATTTAACTATTTATCCAACTTGCATGCAACTCCGTGATATATGACCACTAAAATCATTTACCTTATCAGTGTCCTCTTCAGCCACAACTCTTCTGCTGGGTGACTGTTTAGTGCTGGTGGATTTTGACACCCTAAAGACAGGCTCAAGGGTTCCCTGAAGGAGTTGGGATGCTTCTTCTGTCCAGTGTGCAAATCTCTGTCCATGCCTTTGTAAAATATGTAAATGTATATGCACTCTATTTGTATAAGACTTTTCTAGTATCACTTTGCCAACAGTGACTTAATACAGCCGAGATACTGAAATTGTATCTGTAGAGTCTGTCATACCCTTCAAGGCAAAACCTCTCCATCAACTGAATGCACCACCACTGACGAATCAATGGCACCTCCTCCTAAAAGAGTGCAAAACAAAAACAAAAACAAACATAAAAAGCCACATAAAAGTAGTTTGGTATATTTTTGTGGAAATATAGCTTACCTCTGTGAATGTTAGTGGGCATGATGTACAGGTGCTGAGAGCATACTGTGAAATACAAATAACACTGTAAGACTTTGATTTTATTATTTAACAGCTTTGACAAATGAAACATTCTTACCATCAGCATGTAGATAGATGCCACAGGAATTCCCTGTACACTGTTGAGGAAAACCCTGGAAAAGGAAATGTGCATCCACAGTTACTTTTAAAAACAAATGCTGGCTTGTTTAAACATGTATACATATATATCCTAATCCTTTTAGGATCATTTCGACCCCGGAAATGATTTTAGTTTATTTTTTAAAACCAAGCATTGATCATTATGGTATGAGACTTTATGACTTTTGTCGGACTTGAATTGGGAACAAGTTCACAAAAAAATGTGGATACGCAGTTTCTGTGGTTGTAATTTAAAAAAAAAAACAAGAAGTTACAAATCCTTCCCTCACGGGTCAATTTGACTGGATAGGAATGAATGAAGTTTCCGAAAAACTTTTTTTTAACTACATTAGATTTTTTTTTTTAAATACATATATGTGACCCTGCAGCACAAAAGCAGTCATAAGTAGCGCAGGTATATTTGTAGCAATAGCCAACAATACATTGTATGGGTCAAATTGATAGATTTTTTATTATTGCAGACACCTCAGCTGCCGTCTTAGATTGCATAGGTTCCGCAATCACCCACTTGGTGTACAGGTCAGTCATGGTAAGGACATACTTGTTGTTGTGTGCAGTTTCTGGCAGTGGTCCAATCAAATCCAAACCAAGCACCTCCCAAGGTTCTTTTACCTGCATGGCACAAAATTAGCATCAAATGCTGGTAAAACTGTACAGATCCGTACCGGAAACACGATTTGTACTGCGCATGCGCGGAAATGCGTCTACTTCCTGTCTGTATGACGAAACAATTTACGGCAATTTTGGGTAGTTATAATAATACTGTTGTTATAATACTAATAATAATGTAATGTTTTCATGTGTTGACACTACCCGATCCGTACCGGAAGTAGTCCTTTACTAGTGATTCTCTTGATATAAATACACCTTTTTTTAATATAAATTACATCGATTAAATGTGCACAAATTAAATAAATTCAGTAAAATTAAATAAAAGAAAAAAAAATAGTTTACATTTGCTAGACTCTATTTGGGTAATACAGATGAGTATATAAGTGTGTGTTTTACATTTAATTATTAATTTTCTAAAGATATGTTTTACTTCAGCATACTTTAACAAATGTCTGCATCTAAGAAACACAAAAATATTTTTTTTCAAATTATTTATTCATGAATGAATTCATTCATTCATTCCCTCCCTCCCTCATCTACTACAACTGCTGATTGAGGAACATGGCATTGACCTTCAGGCCTTGTTTATCAACACAGTATGACAAAAATGTTTCCATGTCATCTTGAGACGGAAATATGAACAAAAAGTCATCCTTTGCTTCAGGGAATTCACTCCCCAGGGCCTTCCTGAGTGCATTTTGTTGACTTTCACTGTTCATCTGCAGAAAAGCAGGCTCTGTCACCTCTCCATGGAATAAGTCTCTGTGATTGTTTACCCAGTACCAAGCTGTATGAAGGTCTCTCACAATGCTAGGCTGTTGCACCTGAATATACAAATATATAATGGCACAAACAAATTAAACTATTTATCCAACTTGCATGCAACTCCGTGATATATGACCACTAAAATAATTTACCTTATCAGTGTCCTCTTCAACCCCAACTCTTCTGCTGGGTGACTGTTTGGTGGTGGTGGATTTTGACACCCTAAAGACAGGCTCAAGGGTTCCCTGAAGGAGTTGGGATGCTTCTTCTGTCCAGTGTGCAAATCTCTGTCCATGCCTTTGTAAAATATGTAAATGTATATGCACTCTATTTGTATAAGACTTTTCTAGTATCACTTTGCCAACAGTGACTTAATACAGCCGAGATACTGAAATTGTATCTGTAGAGTCTGTCACAAGGCAAAAGGCAAAACCTCTCCATCAACTGAATGCACCACCACTGACGAATCAATGGCACCTCCTCAGTGCAAAACGCAAAACAAAAATAAAAACAAACAAAAAAAGCCACATAAAAGTAGTTTGGTGTATTTTTGTAGAAATATAGCTTACCTCTGTGAATGTTAGTGGGCATGATGTACAGGTGCTGAGAGCATACTGTGAAATACAAATAACACTGTAAGACTTTGATTTTATTATTTAACAGCTTTGACAAATGAAACATTCTTACCATCAGCATGTAGATGCCACAGGAATTCCCTGTACACTGTTGAGGAAAACACTGGAAAAGGAAATGTGCATCCACAGTTAGATTTAAAAACAACTGCTGGCTTGTTTAAACATGTCTACATACATATCCTAATCCTTTTAGGATCATTTCGACCCGAAAATGATTTTAGTTTATTTTTTAAAACCAAGCATTGATCATTATGGTATGAGACTTTATGACTTTTGTCAGACTTGAATTGGGAAAAAATGTGGATATGCAGTTTCTGTGGTTGTACATTAGATTTTTTTTTTAAATACATATATGTGACCCTGGAGCACAAAAGCAGTCCTAAGTAGCACAGGTATATTTGTAGCAATAGCCAACAATACATTGTATGGGTCAAACTGATCGATTTTTCTTTTATGCCAAAAATCATTAGGATAAGTAGTAAAGATCGTGTTCCATGAAGATATTTTGTAAAATGATAAATTTTTCTTTTATACCAAAAATCATGAGGATATTAAGCAGAGATCATGTTCCATGAAGATTTCCTACCGTAAATATATCAAAACTTAATTTTTGATTAGTAATATGCATTCCTAAGAACTTCATTTGGACAACTTTAAAGGTGATTTTTTAAAATTTATTTATTTATTTTTTATTTTTTTGCACGCGCAAATTATGTATAAATCTCAATTTCAAAAATTGACCCTTATGACTGTTTTTCCAATGAGTTTATAGCATATTTATAATTTTAAATATATATTTTATATTACATATTTATGAAACTGTATGAATATACATATGTTGATTAAAATTCAGTTTGAAAAGTTAAAAACTTTTTTTCTGCAAAATATTTTTTTTTTGTTTAAATGTATCTGACTGCATAAAAAAAAGCAAATTCGAGCTTCAGATTGGACTAAGTTTATGTTTCACTTGTTTTGCTCAATTAAGAATCTCCATAGGATCCTATAGGCCCCTCTAGAGGCAGTACCATAAAATGCTATTTTGTCTTTTTTTTTTTCTTCACAAGATGGAAAGAGTTTAAATTACACAATTCCATAATTTTAAACATACCTCAAGGTCTCTTCCTGTTTTTTCAGTCCAGGATCCTGGGACAATAAAGGTTGCAATGTGTCTGGCATTCCAAAGAAAAGACAAAATACATAATGTGTAATTACATGATGAGTTCTGTAGCCTGAGAACGAGACTCTGATGAACTTGAAGCCTAAGAACAAGGCTCTTATACGAACTTGAAGCCTGAGAACAAGGCTCCTTTTGGAAATTGGAACCAAATAACACGCCTGGAACAAGGCCAGTAAATTAATTATCTTTAGTCTCAACCTAAATATGGTTCTGTAGGTCTCATCTCCAAAACCATCAGGGCGAAGAGAATCAAGAAAAAGTATCTCCCTCTTAGCTACAAACAAAACCTGCAATCAATGGGTATTGTGTTAATATCCACGAAAATCGAACTCACTAACCCTACCTGTTGAATTTGGAAATATTACAACTAGAAAGATTAACAGAAACTTAACACAGAGCAGATAGTGATCAGATCACATTTTTGTCTTTCCGGGTGGGAACAGCATAGAGGTCCACAATGTGAAAATTTTTTCCCTTATGGAAAGAACATAAGTTATTAAACATGCATACATCCAAATGAATACTTCTAAAAGAAGGTAGTATAAAGTACATGTCTTCGTGTAGCTTCTTCCACAATCTTGAGGCAGGCATTTCCGATCTGAAATGTATTGCAGAACGATTACATCCTTGTGAAAGCTGCTATGTGTAACATTATGCATTATCTAGGAATTTGTTTTTTTGTGCAGTAAATTAAGACACTAAACATACGCACATTAGATTCCATGCACTGGCTTAAACCCAGGCTCCAGAAGTCTTCTCGTGTGAGGCACATTTGGCCTTGCTTTATGATCAGTTCTTCTGATGGCCGATTTTTGTCCAACACATACTTTAACTAAAAATAAAGAATGTTTTAACAGATTAAGTAATGGTTATCATTTAAATATGCAAGTGTCACTAAATAAACAATACTCACCAGTTCATCTTGAATAGGGTCCAAGACCTTCTCCCACCTTGCACCTGAACAAGCATATGGATGCTCTACCTGCCATTTGAATGTTGAGTAGCAGTGGTCCTGGAGAAACATCCTCTCAGTTGGTCCATCTGATGATATACAAATACGTAATTATTTATATAATAAAAAAAACAAATAACGTATAATAAATAATGACAGCAGCATTATCTTACAGCTTCATGTTATTTAATAACACTTAACAACATAATTTTATATGCTGATCGTGGTAATCCCAGAAGAGTACCTAGACACGTAATTGTACATTTAAATGCTAACAAGTACACACTATCTGTCACGGTTTATGGGCTCACTGACTCATTCTTGCTCTCTGTGTGTGTGTGGGTGGGTGTGACACTATCATAACTGTTTAGACTAACGTTGGCTTGCTAGTGATGTTATCTCATAAACAACATTGTAATGGTATTCTTGATACTTGATAACTTACCTTCATAGACATGAATACATGTTTTAAACGCTTATAATATTTTAAAGCCTTTATTATTTCTCAACTCTTCAGCTGTGCAGAGAAATTCACTTGAAAGATTCACTTTTTAATCATGATGATGACATGGAACAAAAGTGCCCAAAATGACATGAAATTAGCATTATAACCAGTAGATGGCAGCAGAGGATCACCCATTAGCTCAGTTGCCATTTCAACTCCCTAGTTTTGTTCACTTCTTGTTTTTGAATTTATTAATATAATTTTTAGTACTTTTACTGTACTGAAGTATAGCAAGTGCAGGAAGTCACAAAGTCTCATGTTATTTAAAAAATAAATAAGACACCAATAACCTAGAAGGATACTTTATTTAAATACGTAACTAGTTAAGGACAAATTAACTCAGTTCATTATTAATGGTATAACAATTAAATACTACAAAACTACATTTTTAAAGTTTTATCTTTAACTGTAGAAGCTGCTCAATATATTCAGCCAACACAGACTTGTTGCAAGCTGAAGTTTTGTTACTCTGAATTTACTCTGAATCACTTAATGCTGTTTTGACATCGGCTTCGCAGATGTTTTGTTCCATCCATCGCTACAGTTACAGCCACTGTCAATCATAGTAATGACTCGCGCAACAATCTAGCCGACTACCTTGTGTAATTATTTACTCTCGCTTTTGTCGTTCCTGAAACCGTATACGTGAGCGTTTGGTCCTCTCATACAAACAAAAATGTTCTTCAGATTGTTAATGGATTATGTAGAGAAACCGAGCAAAGGGCACTCCCCTTAAAGCACAGCTGAGTTTGACAGTTCACTGGAAATGACTGAGCTGGCTTATCTAAAACCAGGAAGTAACTGTACATATAGTCCATTAGTAACAACAGGAATTACAAACAAATATCCAGTATTTCTCAATCTAGCATTTAATTTCAAACTGTTTTATACAGAGTTTATCAAACACTCTTACTTTTCAATCTGTAGTATGTCACATTGACACATTGACCCTCTGACAAGCTGACCCTTTGACGATAGTGGCCACCCCTTTGGAAGAGATGCTGGCCACAGTATATGGTCCTTGGTGCTGACTTGTAAATGTGTCTCCTGTCCGTCGTTTCTTGGGGTCCCGTGAGAGCAGAACACCATCACCGGCCTGAACTGAACATACTCGCACAAACTTGCACTTGCGATTTTGGAATGACTTCTGTTGCATGCTCTGTGCTCTCTCTATGTTGTGAAGAACCTACAAAAACAAACAGTACCCAAAATTAAAACTCATTGAAAAATCCAGAATCCTCTGGTCTCTTGATCAATGGAGTTTCAGTCAGGCCAAAATAGAACAATAAGGAACAAGGGTTAATCATTACAATGTAACAGAGTGAGGGAGAGTGGCTTCACGTGAAGATTCAATTGCTTTTATAACTAAAGAGAGATAAAGCAGAATCACAGCAAAAAAAAATAAAAAATCATAGGATCAGCCTATGCCTAGGTCTAATTCTGATTTTTCCTTTATTATTCAAATACATAACGTTTCATTGAGAAGTTTCATCTTATTGACTCTGGTGTCGATGTCATCTTCTGGGTCAGCAACTTCAAAATCATCTCCCATGGGACAGGCATTCATGACCTCTGGCAGACGTGGATGTCGATGGAAGAGGAGGAAGTAGGGACTGTGTCTAGTGGAGTACTGATCACATAAGGAAGCTTCCCATTAACTATTAAGTTTGTATTTATCTATAAGTTTGAAAAACTCCACCCTTGACATTAAATAGTAAATAAATTCACCAATTCAGTTTTACCATTGACAACTAACCGTAGATATTATAAATATAATAAGTAAGACAAAACCTGGCTGGCTGGCAGAGCAAATAAAAATTTGACCCACTGGCCCAATCATCAGATGCAGTGTATTCTGCATTCTTCTTGTCATTGTGCATTTTGAGATAGCACTGTAATCAGAGCCTTTAAACCATGAAAATAATTATTCTCATCATTTTTTTAAGTATTGATTGTCATCTGATTGCTGTAAGTGACCAATCTAAGAGTCATCCTTCATCTCTGATTTGCCATGTTCATAACACAGTGTTATACATACATACAGTATTGACAAAATTACCAATAAGAAATTATATAAGAAAATAAAAAAAAGATTAAGAAGGGGAAAAAAAAAAGTATTTTAATTTGTACAGAAATATGCAGTATCTGACTCATATTCAGTCATGTTTTGTCTTTTTCTCTCTTTTGCTTTTGTTTCAACAGCAGCTAAAAAAAACTCCAAAGGTTCTTCTAAGAGCCATTCAACCGCTGAACGTCTTTAGCTATGTAAGTATATTTTTGACCGACTGTCAGACACTCAGTATTTGGGTTTAGATCAGTTAAAGCTACGTGATGCAGTGAGTTTCAGTCTTCATGCAGCCATGTCTTAAGATATTTAAGAGATAGTTCTTTAAAAAAAAAAAACTTGCATTCTGCATCTCTGATTTGCCATGTTAATACTGATCAATCAATAATTATTGATGAACAATGAATACTTTTTTATTCGTACAACGGGATAAGAGGTGTTTCGGCTACACCCCCTCTGGTCTAGTGCCCTAGGCACGTGCCCAGTAGGCCCGTTAACCCGTCTCTGGATATTACAATAGTCAGTCATGTCTCATTTTCTCTCTTTTCATTGTCTGCAAACAGATCATTGGCATCCTTATCTGTAAGATGTTTTAAGGTACATTCTTAGTGTTGCATGAATGTTTACATGAGGCATTTATATAGCACTACTATTGTAGACCCAAATCGCTTTACAATCATATCAGGGGATTTCATTTTAAATTTTATTTTAGATATTCATGTTAGCTTAATCTGCATGAATAATTCAACATTTGCTAAGGACTGTACTGTGGTGTTGTGCTTAACTGTTAGTAATATATTCTTTTTAGATTTTGGATCATCCTCCACTGACTTCTCCACTTTGTTTTGTTTTTTCTTGCCATCCTTTTTCAAGGTAAGTAATATTTTTAGTGTCACTTAAAGGTGTTCCCAGTGATGCATTTTAGTATTACTATTATTATTTATGTTGTGCTCACAATCATCCTGGACTTATCGGGAATATTTACATTTGGTCACTTCATGTGTTTTTAGTAATGGGATAGCTATCCAAATATAGGCTGTTTTTTTTACCTTCATTTTCCAATTCAAATCCAAACCCACCAAGTACATGTACGATGTTCTGTTGCAAAGGTAGAGCTTGTTCACGTTGCTGTAAATGGTAGCTAGGGTGTGGCTACACAGTTACCATGGTGATACTTCAAGGTTGCTGACAGTTTGAGTGAAAAGAGCCCACCCACATCTCTCTACAATGTACTGGTGCCAAGATATGTCTTTCAGTTTACTATATGGATGCTAAGGTGCTGTAAATGGTTGCCAAGGCATGTCTAGGAACTACGATACGAGTTATCTACGATATTTAAAGACTACTTCACAGTCTGAGTCAAAACCCACCCCCTTTCTCTCAACAATGTTCTAATCCAGAGATGATGGAGTGCTACAGGATAACTGAATGGCAGTTTTTTCAGGAAGATTACAGGGATGACACTGAGGGTTTCACTCAGTGTATAACCAGTTACATCAGGTTCTGTGAAGAGAGTGTTGAAGGTTTACTGTGTTCAATAGCAACACGCCTTGGATCAACAGGGTGGCAGCATGGATGTTAAGAAGGGTGCACAGAAGGAGTGGAGAAAACAGCTTAGGAGAGCTAAGGAGTGCCATAAGGAATAGCAGAGGGGACAAAGGGACAAATTAAACCAGTTTTTCAACAGATCTGACCTGCAACACAGGTCAACCCTGTGATGGTTATCCTCTCCCCTGTAGGTCTCCCTCACCAACTAATAACTAGCTAACAGTTCATCTGTTAAAGAATTATATTACAACACCTCCCACACCCAGGAAGATTGTATTATCAACACTATCACTCTCTTCCCATATCTCTACTTCCACCAAACCCTTAATGACCCTCGACAAAATGATTGATCAGCAGAGATGGCAGCTCACTAAGATTCAAATTAATAAGGCCAGATGACAACATCAACTTGCTGATGCTTAAATGTGTACGGACCAGTTGGCAGGATTGTTTCAACATCCTTTTTTTCCCTTTGAAACTGAAAGTGGCATCTAAAATCTGGAATACATTCTGTATTGTCCCCATGCCCAAGAAAAGATGCCTCGGTGGGCACTCAACAGCTTCAGGCCTGTGGCTGAAACATCACATGTAATGAAGATCTTTGAGAGGCAGGTCCTGCAACATCTTAGGCCCCTGGTATGCAACTATCGAGATCTCTAGCAGTTTGTGTATCAGGTTGATATCAGTCTGGAAGATGTTATTATTTACATGCTTCACAGGGCTTATACACATTTGGATAAATACCTCATATTTCGATTTTTTTTTTTTATTTCCTAATGCCTCTCTATTTGTTGTGTCAAGCTAAATTTTTCCTACGTGGATTAATAAAGATAAATCTAACCATCTAAGCATTGCTTATCAGTGTAGCTACAGAGCTACTGTCACATCAGCTCTTGCTATGGTCAACAACAGCTGTAGTGATGTTACATTTTATAGTGATGCGAACTTATTTTCATGCTGGCATTGAACATGGTCTGTTGTCTCACTTCACAACATTAGTTCATCCAATGTGGTCTGAGTCAGTGTCCCTGCAAGTCAATATAGATGGCCTTCCTCTATACAAGAGCTCAAACTCTCAATTCTGGCCTATTTTAGGCCTAGTAGAAAACCACAAAGATGGGGTCCAGACAAACAATTTGCCATTTGTCATTGGGATATTTTTTGGGGAGAGGAAACCAACCAGTCTTGATTTCTTACAAGACTTTATTGAGGAAATGCAGCATCTCGAAAAAGAAGGTGTCTTTTGTGAAGACAGACATATTAAAGTCCAGATATCTGACATCGTTTGCGACGCACCAGCAAGGGCCTTCATCAGACATTCTAAAGGTCACAATGGTTACTACGGATGTGACAAATGTACTCAAAAGGGAGTTTACAAGAATAACCGGATGACCTTCCCAGAAACAACAGCCCATCTGAGGACCAATCATGACAATTTTGATTATTTTACTGAGGACTCACACTACATTGGGAAAACACCTTTAGAATCACTGTCCATTGGTTTGGTGACATCATTTCCTCTTGACTACATGCACCTTGTGTGTCTGGGAGTTACACGCAAACTGATATCTCTGTGGCAGAAAGGGCCACTGAAGACTCGTTTAGGTCCAACGTTTGTCCGAAATGTTTCTTCACAACTGATAGAGCTACATCTTCACACTCCATTAGAAATTAACAGAAAACCGAGATCTCTACTTGAGTCAGACCGCTGGATAGCTACTGAATTCCGTACATTTCTCTTGTACACTGCACCTGTCTGTTTTTTTTTTGTTCAAAGTTTTTTTATTAATATTTTACATAATATAAAAAAAAAAAAAAAAAAAAAAAAAAAAAAAGAATGACAAGAGAATAAATGACATCAAAATTAAGCAGAAAATATTACATTTGGATCCATCTGCTCTATGTATGTCAGCACTGGCTGCCAAATAGAGAAAAAAGTTTGACTGCAGCCTTTAAAGGAGTATCGAATGTTCTCTAATGCAAGGTGGTACATAAGATCCCTAATCCATTGACTAAAAGTAGGTGGAGATTTGTCCTTCCACTTACGCAATATAAGACGTCTGGCTATTAAAGTTGAAAAAGAAATCATGTTTTTTGTATTATTATCTAAACAAAGTTCTGTAGTTAAACCAAATATTGCAAGAATAGGAGAAGGATCAATAGATAAATACAGGACTTCTGAAAGAAAATTAAATATTAATTACCAAAAATTAACAAGCTTAGAACATGACCAAAACATGTGCGTATAATTAGCTATCTCAACTCTACACCTGTCACACAAAGAATTTATATTTGGTGAAAATTTTGCTAGTTTTGCTTTTGTCCAGTGTAGGCGGTGAACCACTTTAAACTGAATAATTGTATGTCGTAGACAAATTGAAGTTGAATGAATCTTATTTATAATATCCTGCCATGTTTCCTCTGGGAAAAGCAAATCAAGTTCACTTTCCCATTGTTGCTTTGATTTTGTTAAGGATGTTAAATTTTGTGAAGAAATCAGAGAATATATCAAACCTATATTATTTTTGGAGAGTGGGTTGATTTTTAGAATTGTATCAAGTAGTGATT